TGTGAGGCTTCTCAAGAGGGTTTCGGGTGCCTGAACCGGAGAATTGAACTTCGGGAAACTACCTCAAATTATAATCCGTTTGGCGCTAATGGCCGCTGATTCTAGTTTGGCTGCAGTATCGAATATCTGTTGCTCCGATAGCGCGGTCGCCTGGCCTGCGGCAGCACATGCTGGGAAGTTATCCTTAAATAACGCTGTCAGGCGACTTAAATTGTTATCTAGGGCCGAGACTTTCCACGCAGTTCATGTATAATCGAAACTTGAAGGTCAAGGGCCACCAGAGGCGCTTCTAGCGCTATTTGAGTGCTAGCCCAGTCGCTCGTTTCAGCCACTTCATGTAGTATGGGGATTTCCCGCATGGGTAAAGTGTCCTCGTCGGAGGACTCAGAGAGCTCAGAACACATAGTTAAAGAGAAGTGGTACTAGTAAAATATAAATCGCAATGAAATAAGGTGGAATGGAGTTAGTTTAGGGTGGCCACAATAAAGGATATAAGCGAAGATGTACAGAAAAACACTTATAAAACGTAAAAATGCGAACTTATCGATCCACGACAGATTTTCAACCGCGCGCGGTCAAGGTCAGCTCCAACAGTTCTGTTCAGTTCAGTTCAGGACAGGACATTGAAGTGAGTCCGCGTCCTGTTTGTACAGGAAGGTTACCTGAAATGATATAAGAGGAGGGGAGAGGGGGTACGATATCTGCATGCAGTTCGATAAATCGGAAAGTACAAGAAAGAAATAAGGAACATGATATGAATAACACTATGAGGCGGGGAGATGTTCATCGTTCAGGGATAATACCAAGATGCAGATCTAGATTCCTTTTGAAAGCGGATCTTGTGGAGGAATTACTTCTTTGGGGAGGCTATTCCAAAGAGGAATGACCCTGTGGGTGCAGGAACACCAACGGACTAGTGTACGGGCACGCGGTTTGAAAAGTTTCATGCTACGCCCACGAAGATTATCCACACTTATGCACACAAAGAAGTCATCGACCTTGCCGGAATTGAAGAGATTGTAAAGTAGGAACATGTCACCTCTTATCCGGCTGGTTTTAAGGGGATACAGATTCAAGATAGGAGGGCGTGTAGGGTAAGGGGTGGAGGACAAGCCATGCACAAGTTTTTTCGCCCTCCGTTGTACACGTTTCAGAGCCGTACAGTGGCACAGCTGGCGGAAGTGAGCTTTTTCACTCCCGTATTCCACTAAGGGCCGGACGCACGTGCTGTATAGAATCTGGAAGTCACCTCTATCTATTCTGGGAAACGAGCGTCTTAGGAATTGAAGAATACGGAAGACGGATCTACTGGTGTTTTGTTGGTGGTAAGAGAACGAAAGTGACCTGGTTAGCCAGAAACCAAGAACCTTGTGGTGTTCTACACTCGCCATTGTCGAGGAAGCTTTAGTCCTGAAGCTATGTACGGGGACCCTTCCAAATGACATACTCACACATTTATCGTTGTTTATTGGAAGGTTCCAGGCCGTAGACCAGTCTTTGACTGCATCCATTGCTGACTGAACCGCCACAGGTTTGGTGCCCCAAATTGTCAAATCATCAGCCTACATTGCGACGTTGACTTCGATCATGTGGGGCAGGTCATTCATATTTAAAAGGAAGAAGAGGAGAGTCAAGGACGGAACCTTGTGGGACTCCGGTAGAAATGAAAGAGTAAGATGAACTTACGCGAACCGAGGAGGTGCGCTTCGTGAGAAAATCGCGAAGAAGAGTGATGAGTCTGTGTGACGGTTTTGGAAAACTTTTGTACACGATACTTTTCCAGGTCTGTTATCTTCTATTTCTTATCTCTTCTTTCTTTTTTATGAATTGGGCATGTAATTAGTTGACTCCAGGAAATGATACGTCTAGTTGCTCATTGTATTTTGCGATCCTCCCCTTTTTCCGCTTACTGAGATGGTTTGTTCAATTCCTTATCACTGGCACTTATAATGGAGCTTTCGGTCTCTATTTGTTGTTTTTTTGTTTCTTTTCCTCTTCATGTTCATCACCAATATGCCCCTCCCGTTTTACGTCCATCTCTCTAAAAACATTCTATTCTTCAAAACCAACACTTTCTGTAACATCACAGATTTGACAATCGACAAACACATACAACCCAGAATGTTCGTCTATTCCAGTTGACTGAAGCATTTTGAGCAAAATTATGATGCACTGATACTTTAACAAGAGACAGCGAATTCACGAAAATAATCAGCAGTTATTGATTTAGGAATAAATATCTCGGAGCGGAACGGGCCACAACGGAACATATACGGTTTAAGAACATTTGGGTTCATTGATAATCTAATCGACCTGAAACACTTGGGCTCCATATTCGGCTAATGAACATTTGGGTTCATTGGCAACCTAATCGACACAGAGCACTTAGGCTCCATACTTGGCTAGTGCTCATTCGGGTTTATCAGTCCTCAAGCTATTCCAACCTGATTGAAGAACTCACAAATAGTCCTGATATCATGTACAATACCGGTTTGCGAAACCCGCATATGAAGCGTCACGGAGTATGAACCTTTTCTGGTCGTTCAGATTGAATTATCATGAAGCAATAACTAAACCCAAACCCTGTAGCAATCTTCTTTTCATTCGTTAGTTAGACGTTTGCTTACGAATCACCTTCAATGAACATTTATTCTTGTGTTATGTTCTATGCTTCATCTTAAACTTGTTATTGCTCTTACCGATACTGATTGGGAGCTGCACCGCCGGGCAAAAAGCTAGCTGCGCAAGTTGATGGCTTAGGTTGCCATCAGTCGCGATAAACATGAATGCATGACCAGGTTGATTGCAGTATTAGTCTCGAAAAGAGATGGAGAACATCGTGCCTCATCGACATCCAGGGGTATTTAGCTACGATCAACATCACAGTTGTAATCGTCACGAATAACTATCAACGACTGCATGTTGCGGTCACCAGCGGCCTGACTGGCTTTCTACAGAAAAAAGTCAAAAAAAGAAAACCCCTTTTTCGCCAAACCCGGCTCCATCGATAAATATGCTTGACCGATTTCATATGACGATAATTTTCTAATTTAAATCGTCCACGTCTGCCGAGCGATAGTGCCTTGATTCCTCTACACCCTGGCCAGTCGAGGCAGTCGACCGATTTTGGTGGGTTCTTACTCTAATCGACGTATTCTCCACCGGTCTCCGGTACCATCGTCAGGCTTGATGGTATAACCATGTAACCTAGAAGAGACGGGCATTTGAACAATTAGGTAATAGGAACTATCCAATAGGCGTCTGAAAAAAATGACGCAAGGCGTTACTCAAAAGCAATTATTCAAATGTCAATTGGAAACATTCCGTTTCAAGTTTATGCAAAAAACGACAAGAAATCTCTGCGCGATTGGCGGGAGGTGAAATGGTTTTCGAAAGCTTTTGTACACAATACTTTTCTAAGTCTGTTATCTTCTATTTCTTATCTCCTCTTTCTCTTTTATGAACTCAACATTTAACAGTTGTTTTAACCGGCCTCCTCATTAATCGCTTGGTATCTTGGCGGCCTCGCTCCGTAATTTTCTCAATTGTTTGTCGTTCTGTAACTGGGACCTACGACGGTTTCGTAAGTAGCAAATATGTATTGATGTATGCCTATAATAGAAAGGAAATTTCAACTGTCGTTCAACTGTTTTCCTACGTGCTGGAAATTTGGTCAGTCGAAGTCGGGACATTGCGATTCGTATTGAATGTTGTTCGGATTGCCGTTACAGTCTGCCACTGAGGCCATATGACTCGAGCTTATATAGTAAGGGAGCATGGCGGACACGATCGAAAGATTTTACAAAATCAATGAGAATTGAGTGAGTAATCAAGCCTTCATCATGGGCTTGTTTTAGACTGTCCATAAAAGATAGCATATTGGAGATACAGGATCTGCCAGGGAGGAAACCGTGTTGGATTTGGGAAAGAAGCTGATTGTCTGTTAAGGTTTCAGGATTGCCCTTTTTAAAACCCGTTCGAAGACCTTGCTGGGCAAGCTAGTCAGGCTGATGGGTCTATAACTACTTGGATTTTGTTGGTCCCCTTTTGGAAATTGCGGGGATATGATGCCCCTCTTACAAGATGAAGGGAATATTCCAGCATCTTACCTTTTTTTGAAGAGAGTGGAATAATACGGAGCAAGAACCGGGGCGGCTTCTTTTCCCACTCGAGGATGTATACCGTCTGGTCCCATTGAACTAAAAGGATTCAGGGAGTTGGGGGGTGATTCGGTCTCCCATGGAAGAATGATGAAATGTTATAATGGGGGCGGTGTGTTAATAGGGCGGAGATTGGAGTGAGAAGAGACACGGCGAGAAGTAAATTCTCTCTTTTTCTCTATTTGCAGATAGNATAGAAGGAGAAACCGATCAATCGCAGAAGTGGACGGACACTCGTGAGCACACCACCGAAGGAATTCTGGATGGTTGATTGGCCTGTGGCTACTACCAGTCCTGTGCAATCTGAATTAACCTAACCTGAACTAAAGGCGGATTCATAATGAGACCGGAAGATTTAGGTTAACTGAGCAGAGGAGGTTACAGTGTAGTGCAAAAGACAATGATAATAATAATAAAAGTATATTTCGCGAAGCCCTTGAAGCATGCTAGTGCGCATGATCAAAATGTTCAACAATAAGAAAAGTAAACGAAGAAGACCAAAAGGTAATAGTACAAAGAGTGTAGGAACGTAATTTTCAAACGGTTACGTAGAATATCGTAAATGTGCCTTGCGTTGAAAACGAAACACAATGCGGACAAGGTTCTAAAATGAAGTATTCGGGGTGATCTGTTGTGTAATGCACGTCATCGTGAACGTTTGTCTTATGAAAAGTAAAGGAGAGACAAAAAATTGAGATTTGGAATATCCGCTGCTGGGAAAATGCGCAAAAACGAGTTCAAACAATAGAAAGAGAGTAGCGACCAAGAAACATTCATAATTTCACAGGCAGAGCTGCAATCGAGCTGAAGGAGAGTAAAGTAATTCAAGAAAAGACGACAAATGGCTTATAAATAAATTGTTTCAAATGTCTATGCAGTTGGATGGACTTCTGTGATCACGGAACAATAGGCTTTGGGGCTTCACCGTTAACGGACTGATTGGTTTTTATTTATATTATTGAGGCGTTGGTCGCTTTGATGTGGGACTGACAACACGCTAGACACCCAACCTTGAAACACCTTGTAGCCGAGGCAGGGGTGTGATCTTCAACCTGGTCCGGAATGCGGACGCATTTAGTCAAAGCGGTGGATACAGCCGCGCGCAACAACTATTACCGGGGCCAAATTGTCCATTGTGAGTGTAGACCCCAAGCCTTCGGCAGGCCCAAGCCAACCGAATCTGGAATAAAAAGGGCAAAATTCGGCAGTCTGGGGTAATACCCAGCTGAGAAGGGAAGAAGGGAACAGTATGTTGCGAAAGAATATGCGGAGATCGTAAGTGCCCGAAAGTATATATATGTATATATATATTTAAAAGGAAAGTGCGCACAAAAAATCAGGTCAAAAAGATGAAGAGATGAAGCGAATCAGAGGGTTCAACACAACAGGAAGGAACTATAATGTCAGGAATTAAGGTTGACAAGTCTAGTGTAGGTTTCCCCTGAAAGGTTTGGGTTCCGCAAATCTAGCTTTGACGCTCGACGAGTGAAGCGATTAGGGAGGAGTTGTAGTACGTTTTTGGTCGCTGTTTGGCATTGCGATCAATCCTACTCTCATATTCCCTTTGGCAGTGTCTCTGATTCCTAAGTGCCGTTTCTCTCGCCGCCCGATAATGCAAGTGCTGTCTGTGGCCGCCGCTGCTTCTGAAGCAAGTCCATGCCTTCCACTTTATGGCTTATGCCCTGACTACCGTTTTCGTCCACCAAGGCGGCCGCCCCCCTCTTATGATTCTTAGGGGAGAGAAAAATTCGTGAGCCGGGTGATGCGGTCCTTGAATGTCTGCCACTCATGCTCCACGGAGGGGATGCCGTCTGTTGACTACGGGAATGCCTCTGCTGTTTGCTTGAGCGCCGGTACATCCAGCTCCCCATAGTCCCTCCTGAGCTTGTGTCGAACCGGAGAGGGTTTCTCCTGATGTGAAACCTAATTACTCCATGGTCGCCTCACCTTAGGGGAGCAGAAATCCCGAGCTGTTCCACATTATACGGCATCTTGGTCAGAACTGGGTCCAACATGCTAGGCCTTTGCCCTCCCGCCATCAAGTGGGTTGGTTGACGTGCTGCACCAGGGGCAGCACTGTCGGGTCCACTAGTTTTCTACCAAATCCAGAGTCAGGGGCCCACAAGCTTTCCCAGTCTACCTCCGGAGAGTTGAAATCTCCTGTGATGACCATCTCCTCCGCGTGGTTGTTTACTCTGGTCAGATATTCGTACAGTTGGTCATCTTCCTTCTCATCTGAGAGTAGGCGCCCTGTAGAGACCTACTACAGTCACTATACAGTTCGGGGATTGTATATTGTATGAGCACACCTGGATATTCGGCGTGGAAATGTGTTCGCCCTCAGACTGATCCAGGGTGTCCGACACAAGGAGGAATACTCTACCTCTTCCCCTACCGTCTCCCCTGTCAAACCTATACTCGTAGTACCCGGTGAGTTGCAGGCTCGCCGTTGTGATGGCCTCGTGTAGCTATGTCTGGGCAATCACAATACAGTATGTTCCTACTGTTTCGGCCCTTAGTTTTCTCCATTTGTTTTCGATGCCGCAGGCGTTCGTGTAGAATGCCGACAGTCCCCCAGCCCAAATCCCCCTCCTATCATTGATGCCACTAGTGCCACTAGTGTTGGTTACATTCATTACGTAGTGCTGGAAGGGAGACTGGTATCCCCCTGGGAGTTGGTTGGCACATAAAGAGTACTGGGTCGACAAGCGGTCCGTTTCGATCATTTCCTTCCAAGCATAATCCATCAGGTTCAGTGCATGTCGTTTCAGAGTTCTGGAAGTCGGTTGAACATGACAACGTCGCAGATACTTCCAGAAGGTTTTTGGATAACGGTTCTGATCAATACATTCCCTGATAAACCGCACAATTGTCTCCGCTTCGGCAGACCTGTCTTTGAACTTCAACAACTTGTTCGAGTCAAATATAGCCACATAGAATCCGCAGTGCTTCAAATCGTAAAATAGTCCCATGGACAATGTAGAAAACGGTATTCGCGAAGAAAATGTTTTGTCTCGACCGGAAAAAGGGGCCGGCTGGGTGTTTCTCGATAAAACTGATTACCACTCTAAATTAGAGAATATCCTCAGCGGCTCCACAAACTTTTCCGCTGGACCACATGAGAAGGACATGACAAAGCAAACGGAATCTATGTTAAAGTCCATATTGAAAAAACTGAAGATAGAAGGTCACATATCACAAGCGGTTTTTGATAAGCTGGTTGTTGAATCTGTTTTACCGGTTCCTCCCAATGTTTCCATCCTGCATTTCCCTCGGTTG